AAAAAAAAAACCCAACATTTTGAGATTTTTTGTACTTGCTGCTAATTACCTTTGAATTTTTCTCTAACACTTTTTTGCCTTTAATCTCCATAACTTTGCGATATGAATGTCCTTTAAGGTGCATATAATCTTAAATGGAGGGATTATTTCAACTTGTGCCAAATTATTCCCTAATAAGTTTTTTTCAGCAGTAAGAATCACTCCATTTTTTACAGCCTCGTGAATTCCGGTGCCAATCCCTAATAGTGTTTGGTGATAGTCTCTCAGATGATGGCGTTGAAGCTGTTGGCGAATCACATGGTTTTACTCGCAATTCGAATGGGAAAATTTGGCCAGAATATGTAGAGAAAATGCTTCAATGCGATGAGGTGCTTTTTGTACAATTTTCCACCCGAACATGGCATAATTGTTATATTTAGTACATAAATTACGCCTATAGTGGAGCGAAGAGCGGTTTGGATAATTTCTACTTCGATGGATGGTCTGGCATAAGTTGGCAATTGCAAAGATATTTGGAGAATCATTTATACATTAGCGGGGGTTCGTCGTAAAACTTTTATAAACATTTTTAGCTCGCTTACGTTTTTAGGTATTTCAGAACCTTTGATAATTTTCCAAACAGGAGGTGTGGTTGACTACTTTACTGGGGAGAAAGATGCGACCACAGTGGTTGCTAATATCGAAGCTAGTGTGGAAAATATCACAAAGGTATTGATTACTCAATGTACATATTTCCTACCAGCTTAAAATCGTTGAGACAATTCCGAGCCGTGACTCAAAATTAGGTCCTGCCTTGAGCGGTAAAGTATTATTCTGCAGACCATGAATTCGGGCACGCTTTTCGTTTTAACCCTATTGGATCTTGGCAGTGCACCAGGAGTACGAGCAGCTGATGAAAGTGCGGATTTGCAGCAAAGGCTAGGCGAGCTTGTAGCAGAAACAAATAGGGTTGGTTTATCCTTATGAAAATTATCCTTTGTCCATAATCAATCTTTGAAAACTTTGTGGAGATATTTGTTGTCCAGTGGACCATTCCATAAGGGTTGCAAAAGAGTTAAAGCTTTGTCCCAATTTGAAATGGTTCATTCTATCCGTAGCCTTTTTTTCGACAACATAAGATTGTGAACATTCCAAAAATCCTGCTCCCACTTAAAGCTACTCTTATTAAGCATCTTGCTCGAATTGTCTTCGATTCTGAACGAGGTGCTCGACAACTTTACCCAAAACTAAGAATTCGCCTATTGGATATCAATCCCATTGTGATGGAAGCAATGAACTCCTTGAACTCATCAGAACCCTTTACTTTCCACAATGTCAATATCAGGTAACATTTTGCCACTAAATCTGTCTGGATTTACTACCGCTAATGATTTCTTCTTTGAACCAATATGTCCCTTTATAACTACTCAGGTAGATTTTTAATGTGGCCAGTGTGGAGTGACGTGAGATAAAACGAAATGGGGCGGCAAATGAGCTAGAAGAGTAGATGTCTCTACTTTTTGCGATTAATGCTACGATATTTGCTTGTCATTTCGCTCTTACACACTGCAAAACCTCCCTGAATAACCTAAGTCTTTTCAAGCTTGTTATTATTACTATTGTATTGCAGGCCCCGTTCAGTCTACGGCTACGCTTATCACGATTTATGGAATCCATCCACGATAGTGCATTATGCGTTGGCTGAAGAAATTGTAAAACAATTACAAGATCTTTAAAGTAGGAAAGTCTTCCACTTGCTGAATCGTCGGAAACTTTTCACTATTGCTAATTCTTCTTCACATTGTGCTAGCTTACTTATTGATGTATTTTTATTAGTTTAATTCGTCAGTCATTGCGTGTAAATAAACGTCAGTGTCAATGTGAATTAGCTTGCTTTGCAGAATTTGTTTCATGTAAAGATGCGAAGTCGTCTCAAGCTTTCTCCTTTACCTTTTTGTGTTTCTTTATTTTCTATGCCAGAAATCTCAATAACCATAAGTTATCTGCTAGAAAGTATATACAAGACTGAATTGGATGTTGTTTTGACTTGTGGTTTTCTTCAGAGGGTCAGACCCCTTCTGCTGCCTAGTTATCTACATAATTGCATTTTTCGGCCCGATGTTATGTTGACATCCCGCTGAGAAGACGACGGTGCTTAAATTTGCATGACTTAGACGGAAGGTGACATAGAGGAATTACGATTGGTTTTGATGAAGATTTACAGAGTAGAAAGTTCTATTTTGACCC